TAATGAAACAATCTGCACATACTCATCATTATCAAAGAATACATGTAGCGGACATTGTTATTGTTAGTTGCCTACGGTAAGATTTTGAACAGGAGAGGACAATTTGATTTTTCTTCCTTCCTACTATAACAATCCAAACAACAAACATGTTGTTATTTCTATCTTAAAACAAATGAACAAACAAAATCACAACTATTGACCCCATTATGCATCCCCCTTTGCTCTCCTGTGGAGCAAAACTGCTCAAAAGTTGTCTATATTCACTGTCTCCAAATCCTTTCCTCGTAAACCTATGCCAACGAGGTTTTTACTTCTATACTGAAATCTCAAGGTTGCCAATGACATCCAGATTGCTAATCATCAATTCTTAGTTCTTTTCATCTCTGACCTAATGATAGCACTTGACATAAATGGTCTCTTCTTCCTTGATACACTTGCATCACCTGGCTTCCAAAACAACACATTCTCTTCAGTATTCTCCAATTTTATTGTGGTGCCTTCTCAGTCTCCCTTTCTGCCTTCTCTTCATGTTAAATTACTTGGTACTCTTCTCTGTCTACATGCATTCTCTTGGGGAATTCATCCAGTCTCATGACTTAAATACTGTCTATAACCTAATGATCTCCCAATTTGTACCTCCCTCCAGACCAGAGTTTTCATATATTGCCATATGGATTTCTAGTAAGACAACTCTAACTTAACATGTCCCAAGTTGAGCTCCTGCTCTCTACTCACAAACCTAGTCTACTGTGGTTTCCCTCATCTTAGCTGAAAGTACTCCAGCTTTTTATGTATTCAGGTCAGAAATTTTGGTGCATTCCTGACTCTTCCTTTTTCTCTTAAACTATCAGAACATCCCATCAGCTCTGCTTTCAAAATATATTCAGAATCCACCCACTTTTTCCTACCATCAGCTATCAAGAACATTATTGCAATAAGCCTCCTTACTGCCCTCTCAGCAGCATCATTCAATCTGATAAATGTCTAAAGAATTAGAGTAAAAGCCCTATTATGAATGCAGTGGTTCTCAAAGTGTTGCTCCCAAACCAGCAGCATCAGTATCACCTGGGAACCTGGCAAAAATGCAAATTCTCAGGACACACCCAAAATCAGAACCTCTGAAGGTAGAACCCAGTAATCTTTTTTAACAAGCCTTCCAAGTGTTTCTGATGCATGATAAAGTTTGAGATCCAATGATCATAGATATCGGCTATTAGGTCAGATCATTTTTTTTTTAAATA